CTTCCCAATCACCCCTTCTCCCATCACCATTCCCACATCACCCCTTCTCCCATCGCCCTTTTTCCCATCATCACTCTCCCATCGCCCCTTCTCCCGTAACCACTTCCCCATCACCACTATCCCAAAACCACTCTCCCATCACCCCTTCTCCCATCACCACTCTCCCATCACCCCTTCTTCTATCACCACTCCAACACCACTTCTCCCATCACCCCTTCTCCCATCACCACTCCCTGATCACCATGTCCCCATCACCCCTGTTCCCATCATTGCTCTCCCATCACCACTTCTCCCATCACCCTTTCTCCCATCACAACTCCCCCATCACCCCTTCTCCCATCTTCACTCTCCCATCACCCCTTCTCCCATCGCCCCTTCTCCCATCACCACTCCCCATCACCACACCCCCATCGCCACTTCTCCCATCACCACTCCCCCGTCACCACTCTCCCATCACCCCTTCTCCCATTGCCATTCCCACATTAACCCATTCCCCCATCAGCACTCCCTCATCACTCCTCCCCCATCACCCCTTCCCCGATCACCACTTCTTCCATCATCACTCTCATCACCCCTACTCCCATCACCACTCCCCCATCACCTCTTCTCCCATCACCACTCCCCCATTGCCCCTTCTCCCATCTCCCCTTCTCCCATCACCACTCCCCCATCACCATTCCCCATCACCCCTGTTCTAATCATCACTCTCCCATCACCCCTTCTCCCATTGCCCATTCTCCAATGACCACTCCCCCATCGCCCCTTCTCCCATCACCATTCCCCATCACCCCTTCTCCCATCACCATTCCCCATCACCCCTTCTCCCATCATCACTCTCTCATCGCCCCTTCTCCCATCACCCCTTTTCCCATCACCACTCTCCCATCACCCCTTCTTCTACCATAATCCCTTCTCCCATCACCACTCCCCCGTCACCCCTTCTCCCATCACCCCTTCTCCCATCAACACTCTCCCATCACCCCTTCTTCTATCACCACTCCCCCATCACCACTCTCCCAGCACCCGTTCTTCTATCACCACTCCATCACCACTCTCCCATCTCCCCTTCTCCCATCGCCATTCCCACATCAACCCATTCCCCCATCAGCACTCCCTCATCACTCCTCCCCCATCACCCCTTCCCCCATCGTCCCTTCTCCCATCACCACTCCCCCATCACCACTGTTCCCATCACTCTCCCTTCACCCCTTCTCCCATCGCCCCTTCTCCCATCACCACTCCCCCATGGCCACTCTCCTATCACCCCTTCCCCCATCACCACTCTCCCATCTCCCCTTCCCCATCAGCCCTTCCCCCGTCACCATTCCATTACCGCTTCTCTCATCACCCATTTTCCCATCACTCCCCCATCACCCCTTCTCCCATCACCCCTTCTCCCATCACCACTCCATCACCCCTTCCCCCATCACCACTCCATCACCCCTTCCCCCATCACCACTCCTCCATCACACCTTCTCCCATCACCACTCCATCACCCCTTCTCGCATCACCACTCCCCCATCACACCTCTTCCCATCATCAGTTTCCAATCACCCCTTCTCCCATTACCACTCTCCCATCACCCCTTCTTCTATCTCCACTCCCCCATCACCACACCCACATCACCACTCCTTCATCACCCCTTCTCCCATCACCCTTCTCCCATCACCAATTGCCCCTCACCCCTTCCCCCATCACCAATCCCCCATCACCCCTTCTCCCATCACCACTCCCCCATCACCCCTTCTCCCATCACCACTCCATCGCCACTCCCCCATCACACCTGTTCCCATCATCACTCTCCCATCACCACTCTCCCCTCACCCCTTCTTCTATCTACACTCCCCCATCACCACTCTCCCATCACCCCTTCTTCTATCACCACTCCATCACCACTTCTCCCATCACCCCTTCTCCCATCAGCACTCCCCGATCACCCCATCTCCCATCACTTCTCCCATCACCCCTTCTCCCATCACCACTCCCCGATCACCATGTCCCCATCACCCCTGTTCCCATCATCACTCTCCCATCACCCCTTCTCCCATCTTCACTCTCCCATCACCCCTTCTCCTATCTTCACTCTCCCATCACCCCTTCTCCTATCGCCCCTACTCCCATCACCACTCCCCCATCACCCCTTCTCCCATCACCACACCCCCATCGCCCCTTCTCCCATCACCACTCCCCCGTCACCTCTCTCAAATCACCCCTTCTCCCATCGCCATTCCCTCATCAACCCATTCCCCCATCAGCACTCCCTCATCACTCCTCCCCCATCACCCTTTCCCCGATCGCCACTTCTTCCATCACCACTCCCCCATCGCCCCTTCTCCCAACACCACTCCCCCATCGCCCCTTCTCCCATCACCACTCCCCCCCCCACTTCTGTTCCCATCACCACTCCCACATCACCCC